CTAGGTGCTAGGGGAGATAATTTAATCCACGCGAAAAAGAGTGGACCGCTTAATGTTTTGACGAGTGTATATCGGTACGAGGAACGTAACGTGAAACTTTTTTTTGGTAACGACAACTTTGTTAAGTTACCGGTCCCTGCTTGGAGGGTGTGTCCTGTCTGGGGACATGCTAAGTAGCACCTCGGTGGGACATCCCTTCGGAGCTCCACCGTTGGTATGTCCTGAGGAGTAACTTCTCAGTACATCCAATCAGAAGTGCCTCCCAATTAGATCCTAGCCGGGATGTGAATCAGGACATGCTGCCAAGCACGTCCTGAAGAACTCCGTGGCATGTACTTTCGGGACGTCCCAGTAGTACGTGTGAGGGATTCCCATAGGATCATCCCCAATGCCTCCCGAAAGTAAATGGGAGCTGCTTTGTTGACTGGGTACTATTAGCTCTCACAGCTAACTTTTTTTTTCGTGTTTCCAACTTAACATACAATTTGGTTTCAAATCAATTTAAAGGTCAAGAATTAAATCTAAAATCTGTTTCTTTTTCGCAGGCGATGGTCGTGTACGCGGGCAGATCTATGGTCAGTCATGGTTGCATCACCAATGTGTACTTCACGCGCCTTGAAGAGGACGTGATGGAGACGGTGCTCGTGTCCTCGCGCGAGCTCAAGGCGGGTGAAGTGCTGGTTATGGACCACAATGCAAGGTGGTTCAAAAGCGCCGACTATAGGCGCACTTGGGCGTCGGAACACGGTGTACCCTGCCCGCTCTGCGCTGACCCAGCCACTCTGGGGCTGCACCTAGACTCGTGGACCTGCACCCGGAAGGGCTGCAGAGGTCAGTAATTTTGGGATAACAACCACCCGAAAACAACAGGTCCCAACCTATTTTTGCCAGTTCTTGGCCGTATTTAATTTTACGGTCGGACCGTATAAAGTTTTACTGTTCGGACCGTATTTAAGTTTACCGTCTTGTCTGATACAGTCCGAACCGTATTTCTGATTACGGTCGGACTGTACAGTCAAGTGCCCTGAATACGGACTAGCGTCCAAAATACGGACACTTTGCTGTTTTCTACTAATAAAGCCCCTAAATCGAAAACTGGTATCCGGAATATAGCTGCCGAGGGTTCGCTGGAAAGGTTAGACCTTCTAGAATCTAGATTTGAAGAAATATTTCCGATATCTTGCATAGAGCGACTGAACCAATTTCGGATCATCCCCTAATTTGGATCAATGAGACCTACACACGCTCCCTCGCTAAAATGTATGGGTTTTAATTTCTTTGTTGAAAAGGTTTGTCGTTTTCTACCAGAAATACCATCGCTTCGCCCTCATTGCGGCCCAAGCGGCCCGCGCGGGCGAGTTGAACATTAACATACGGGTGGTTTCACAAATAAGATGCATATTGGGTCACTTTTTTTTCGTTTTTGAAAACGTTTGCAAGTGGAGGTTTTTCTATCTATAATGCATTAGGGGTATCTACGGAGAAAGAAAACGTTCTTTAGCGAGCTCCCAGCCACCTATTTCTGGGTAATTCCCTCAAAATGGCAAGGGTGGCTGTCCAAACGGTTAACCTCGAATATATTTTTTAGTATAATGATGTGGCAAGGTACTTTTACAACTGGAGACGTTTGCTCATGCTAAAACACGACTATTTCAATTAAAAAAAGCTCCGCACCATAAGTATTTATGTTAAAATATTTAATATATGTTGCCTCCGTCACACCTAACCTACAATAGGCATAATAACAAATGTTTTGTTTTTCAAGCTTTGTCAGGGTTACTTTACCACTTCAGAAATTGTCTACTAAATTATTTTAACTATCTCAATCGAAAACAGTAGCAGACTAATAGTATTTTATTCAAAATTGTCGAATTTTGTCCCCTTCGTCACGGTGTCCGATTGACGATTAACTCAGATAACTAAAGAAATGTAGATTTTATATCGGATTTACTCTAAAATCAGCTAAGAAACCCGAGCAGCACTTCTCTGACACATATTTCACGACCAACTACTTTCTGACTTTAAAATAATTTAAGATAATCAGTTCAGTTGTTGTTTTGTCACGCACGAAGTAGGGTTAGTTTAACGGACTTCAACACGAAGAAAATTATATTTACCTTATCACCTTCTGACCACCAGATTCCTACTACTTTCTTATACGACGGTGAGCACTAACTACACACTGCACGCTGCACCTTACGAGAAATTTGAGATAACTGCAACGGTTACACGAATTCTGACAAACCTGGTGACACTTTTTAAAGTATTCGTTTCTCTTCTATTGATGATTTGGGACCTCGATATAGTAGTAATACGATGTATCATAGAGTTGTTTAACGAAAAACATGGGTGTTTTGACCAGGTTCAAAAAGGTACGAGCGATGATAACGAAAACAGACAGTAAAGCGGAGTCGAGGACAGCGCATTTTCCGTCTGCTAGGGAAGTTTAAGATATATTTAATGGTGATGGAATGTGTTTGAAAGCAATTAAATGGCCTTGCCAAGTCTCAGACACGCTATATTTTGGTAATAATGTGTTCGTTTTAGCTACGGTGACGATTGGGAGAAATACAGATGAGTTGAATTCTCGGACACCGACATGCATCTTATTTGTGAAATCACCCATACATCGTTTAGGAGGTGGGAGAATGTTGTGGTTTGCTCAAATTGACATTACTTGGTATGTACGCATAATTTCGCGTCAACAAGAGTATCAATCTTCAGTTCAAAGCCTAGAGAACACGTTTCAAACGTGGATTCGATCTAATATCATGCCAGGTTAAAACGCGGGTAGAGGTCACAAGTAACAACTTCTTAGGTCGAGTTTCGCGAGCAGCTTCGATTTAATGATGGTCCAAACTGTTTTGGTGCTCACTATTACTTAGTTTTGTCACGGAATATTTCAAAGGGTTGCTTAAGTATCCGTTCTTGGTCATCCTGGATAGTCCAGAGGACCGTATTTGCCAGTTTCACTGCATTTTATGTCGATTTAGTCATAAATACCCTTACATGATCTCGATCTCTGGCAATAGGCATTCCAGCTGGTCAAGACTAAGACGTGTACTCATCTTTTTCACTTATTCTACTTAAGAACTACTGCCGAGTCTGGTCGGTTTCTTAATTATTAGTTTCATTTGATCCGAATTAAGTGCACATGCTCATTTCGGATCAGGCAATAATTCAAAGACCCCGTGGATTGTGGACCAAAATCTTGATTGCATCTAGAGCCGACTACTACTGTCAGGCTACAAGATGGCCTCTTTCATCACCATCTTTATCCAAAGCTGATCCGAAATAGGTGCATATGTCCCTATTTCGGATCATAAAATCACGTCTATACACAAACTGCCATAACTCCGAAACAAGTGCAGTTACGGACACCAAAAAAAATTGCTTCTTGTTAAGGAAGATGTAACCTTTTGGTGCCTTCGTGCGATCGTTCTAAAATCTGTGTGCTTTGGTAATAGTGCAGGAATCCAAAAATCTGATCCGAAATAGGTTCAGTCACTCTACTGTTCTCTCCAAAAAATGCTGACGCCTCCTAGTACGTCTTTATGTGCAACGTGGTCATTTTCGCCGTATTTTCGTCGTAAAAAGCACTTTAGCACCCAAACGGTGCAAGATACGGTAAATCAGAGATTAGTACGTTTCTCAAAATGTGCTGTTTTGGGGGGGTACTTCCTCTGACATTTTACGATCGGACGCCTCCATGTACGACTTCATGTGCAACGTGGTCATTTTCACCATACTTTCGTCGAAAAAATCACTCTAGCGCCCAAAAGAAATCAGACAGTTAAATTAAGTGCGTTTAAGACCGGAAAAACAAATACGGTTCTACCGTACTAATAAATACTGTCCGGCCTGTAAAATAATTTACAAAACCGACCGTAAACTAAAGTACAGTAAGGACTGGTCTACCGTATTTGGCTACACTTTTTGTTAGCAAGTGATTGTCGTCCAAGCGAAGGACCACTTACGTATTGTTTTTGTTGTACCCCACAAGACAGGTGGTGGGCCTTTTTCGAGGCCCATTTCTGCTCCCACATTGAACGCGATTTTGTGCACATCATTTACTTTAGTCAAATGTGTACATTTTATTGCGACAATTTTCATCCAAGCCCATGAGAAGTCTCGATAAAGTCGTTAAGGATTTGTTCCTGGCAAATGCCGTGCACGAATCGGCGTCTCTTTTGAGGGGATCAAAATTCGTAGTCGTTCTTACCTTGATTCGTTGCCAGGCCTCGTCGTGCCGTTGCGCGGTGCCGACTCTCCGGACGAGGGCGGGCGCTGCCAGTCGTGCGGGCTGGGCATGAGCGCCGAGGAAATGGAGTCCGCCGCGTGGGAGGCGCGGCGCGCCCTGGAGGCCCTGGAGGAGGCGGGCTCGCTGATGAAGGCCTCCACGGGGGAGCGCAAGGGCGCCCCGTCGCTCAGGCAGTGGGAGAGGTTCCTGCACCGGTACGAGCGCCCGCGGGGACCCCTTCACCCCATGCACTGGATCGCACTCCGGGCCAAGAAGGAGCTGATCTTCACCGTAGCTGGCTGCCTCGGCAACATGAACCGGGATCACAATACAGGTGGGCCAAACATCCTTGTTGTTTTTACATGTGCATCTCGGTGTGTCACGCCGGTAAAAATAAACTGTATTAACAAGGGACTGTTGTTAACACACCTGTCATGGTGTTTACAGAGGAGCTAGTACGCTGGGAGGGTGCGTTTCGTGACGTATTGCGCGCTTTGGATGTGCTGGCACCAGGATACAACAATATGAGAACAAATATTAATATGCAGCTAGTGAAGCTTCTCTGCATAAGATTGATGCACCTTCACAAGGATGGTCTTCGAGGTCGCAAGCTTCAGGTAGTATATAATTTTCATGCGTGAATAAATTATAGGTCTGAGGGCATATTTCGTTTTTGTCACATTGTGTTTGTAATAACATGGTTGCCACAACTCTGGAAAACCTTGAAAACCTGGAAAACTCAGGGAAAAAAACTGTCAGGGAAATCAGGGAAAACTCAGGGAAAATTTAAAAAATCAGGGAAATTTGGTGTGACTGGTCCCCAAACTGCAGTCTATTCGCCGTTTAGGTCAAACACACATTTTGACGTCCCAGTAGGGTGTTCTGTCCCAAAAGTTTTCCCGCTCGCTTCGCTCGCGGTCTTTGTATTACAGTTAGGGGTATTAGTTTGCCCCAGTACTTCACCAGGAACGGTGCTTAAAACTCAGGGAAATTCGGGGAAAAATGGTCTGGAAATCAGGGAAAATGGAAATGAAAATTTTGTGGCAACCATGAATAACTTCTCCTTGATACATTTGACTATTTTTTTTGATGAGAACACTCTAAATAGGGAGGGACAATTTTTGTACCTAATTTAGATGTGTCTTTGGGCACATTTTTATCAAAATACACGTAGTCTATGTACAAAAATTTCCCCTGGCCATTTAGTGTGAAGGCATCATATCTCGTTTCAGTAATTCTCTGGAAACGGAAGTGTGTGAATGTCACTCACTCGCAGGTGTGGGGTGGGGATATCCATTCGTACACTTTGAGGTGTAAAGGTGTGAATTTTCTCGGAAAAATTCACACGTTTACACCCCTAAGTGTACGAGTGGATATTCACACACCTGCAAGTGAGCGACATTCACAAAATTGCGTTTCTAGTGTTGAAACCATTAAGAATTTAGTACCATACCATACACTGTCAAGTTATTCAATTTAAATGACCACATTTTTTAACATGTATAAACTGTCATATTGGTTGTTAATCGTGATGTCACATGCCTTTCAACGTGACTCAGCCGGGACAAGCGTGGAAAATCTAAAAACATGAAAAATACAAAAAAATCAGTTTCCACTAGTAAATGAATGTGATGTCAGATTGAATTGAATAACAGTGTGCCCTTCAAGCCACACAGCTTACTGTTTGCCCCTACTTTATTTTTAGGTATTATACGACGAGGCAACAAGTGTTTTAAAAGACATTAAAAAACTTCCGAGGACTGTTGAACTCCAGGAGGAATACGCCGCTATGGAATTCATCTGTGAAACAGTCACCACCCTACTGTAAGCCCCTGTCTACGTTCTCATGTTAGATTTTGAAATAAATATGAATTCTCTGAATAAACAAACTTATCTAGTTTAAACGCAGTATGAATAGTTTCACCCGGATTTTACCTCCTCTGAATGTTACTGTTTGCAAGTATGTGAGTCGTTACAGTTTAATGCAATGATGACTTCGAAATTGATGCAAGAGCAGTCCATGTGGGATTCCTTTAATTTGTTGCACCTCTGAGAGTGATAACAAAAATTATCGTGCAAAATTAACATTTATTATTGCGGAAGATTTGATCAGCTCTCCGAATATCTGCTTGGCTTTAGTTGACGCAGACTTTTTTCACACCAGCGTCCTCCACACCCAAAATGGGGATGGACAAGTTTTAACCCTGGTAAACATTTTTGCGTGGGAAGGTACAAATTAAACCTAGGCTCTGTACGAACGCTTCATTTTTTTTTTGTAACGTAGAAATAAATTTGTATTTGACTTAGAGGTACACAAAGGCGCATCTAGTCTACATACAAAAATTGTCCCTGGCCATTTTGTGTGCAAAGCACTCAGATTTTATCGGTATTGCACCTTGTGCTCTACTTTGCATGGTTTGTTATACCCCCTGCTTACAATTTTACAGTGAAACACATTAATCACATCTTAGGCAGCCATCATTGCATTTTAATGCAACAACAGATTTATCACACTTTTAAACCAATCGTTGTTGCAGTTTTCGTGCATTATGGAATGTATTGTGACTTATTTAAAACATTCCGTACTACTCCAAAGCTGCAAGTATGATAGCTCAAAAAGTGTGACGTTACGAGCAAGAACAAGCTGTCGTAAATTTTCAACTTGTTCTGTAAATAGTAAATCATCAGACATTACAAATGTACGGTGGATTCTCGCTACCCTCACTGATAAACTAAGTGTTCAACTTCTCAACACTTGTAAACGTGCAACTACAAGTTACTACTTGCAAGTGTTGAACTCCGCAGTCGCACACATGCGAGTGTTCAACTCGCGGTTCTACTCGGTAGGTGAGCACTTGCACCTGCACCTCCTCGGTTGAACACTTCCTTAGATTAATCTAAATTTAACGGTCACTGTGTAGGAAGTGCTAAACTGAGAAGTTGCACACTTTCACGAGCACACTCACCGAGTTGAACACTTGCCCCAGCAGCCCGCCGTCTGGCCTGCTGCCCCTCTCCCCGCGCGCCCCGTGTCGGAGCCCTGAGCACAACGGCAACGGGGCAGCCGTGGCCTGACTGCGCCTGTCTGCCGCGCCCGGAGAGCGCGGTAGCGACTCGGGCGGGTCGGATTCTTTTGCAACACACAGTTCAAATGGAGGCACAAGTGTGTGAATTTCAAGGGGAAATTCGCACCTTTACTGCCTTAAGTGACATGCGCACATGCGCATTTACTTCCCCAAGTGCACGGACAGGCATATAACACGCCTACTGCTACTAGCGCTGCTCACTGTTCAGTCTCCAGTGCGGCCGGCGATACCCTCTGCGAGCAGCGCCCGCACTCTAATACGGGGGAATACGCCGCCTGCATCCAAGGTCAAGCGCCATTCCCCCCGCCTCCCGCCTCCCTCAGCCTGCCACCGTCCGCCGCAGAGGCACGAGTGGGAGAGAGAACGATAGCCACGGTGCGTGGCGCCTGGTCCCGGCCGCGGCGCTGACTCACCAGTCGCGTGTTTCCCCTGCCTGAGCCCCGCCCATCCCGGCACCAGCAACTCAGTTAGTCTGTCGCGGCGCAGGTCGTCGGACGGTTGTCTTGTGGACATAACCTCTGAAACACCTCTTACGCTTCAAACACGCACGAAGTACGTAGTGACCACCGGGTAAGTTGGATCACATTACGCGTGGTACCTTATAAAGCCAAGGGACACTATCATTTTCATGTTTGGCTTTGAGCGATAACGAAGACCCGCACGGAATTGCGTTTTGTTGGTGCGTTTTATGTGTCATTGTTGGTACGACAACTCTAGAACGGATTGATTCGGCTGTATCAATTTCAGAATCGTCTGTGCTACATCACTGTGAAAAGGAGATGGCGGTTTTACGGGAAGATTGTCAAGTAGCAGTGTCGTGAATCTATATTTTAGAGTTTCTAAATTACAAGAACTCTGTACCGACTTGAAAATCATGGACGAGCAAGAACAAGCTGTCGTAAATTTTCAACCTGTTCTGTAAATATTAATCATCCGACATTACAAATGTACGGTGGATTCTCGCTACCCTCACTGATAACTAAGTGTTCCACTGCTCAACACTTGTAAGCGTGCAACTACAAGTTACTACTTGCAAGTGTTGAACTCCGCAGTCGCACACTTGCAAGTGTTCAGCTCGCGGTTCTACTAGGTAGGTGAGCACTTGCGCACCACTTGCGCAAGTGTTCAACCCGGTAACTCGGTGGGTGTGCTCTTGCAAGTGTGCAACTTCTCAGTTTAGCACTTCCTACACAGTGACCGTTAAATTTAGATTAATCTAAGGAAGTGTTCAACCGAGGAGGTGCAAGTGCTCACCTACCGAGCAGAACCGCGAGTTGAACACTTGCAAGTATTTAACTTTCAGTTGCACACTTGCATGTGTTGAGCAGTTGATCACTTAGTTTATCAGTGCTTTGCCTTTGCCAACTGTCGTGTGTGAGAGCTATAGAAGAATTGTGCGTTGTATGCGACCTGATCGCCCGATACGGCGGCTTAGCCGACTCGCCTGCTGGAGGAGTGGGGAGGGCGGTGCACGGCAGCAGCGAACGCACAGTACAGTACGGTACTACTAGGGTGTCCCGCTTTTTGACAAAAGTCCGAATGTATTTCCGCGCCCAAGCTTTTTGTATTCTTTATCGAAAATAGAGATTAACGTGTCTCGGCGATTTCCTGATTCCTCGAAATTGATGGATGCGCCACGGCCTCAAAGTTTTGCGGTGGTGACGGGTTTTGTTACAATACTGTAACTTTATTTAAAATCGGTCGATTTTCGTTGTTCACAGCTCTATTTGCTTCATTTGATGAGTATTGTTCAGAAGGCAACAGGGGCAACCGCCTCGAGGTGGCAGACCAGGCCTCAAAAGGGCTGGATTGTGCAAAACACGCCCCAAAAACCGTTTTCACGCCCATTTTCATGCCCTACGACCCTACGTGTCCCCGGCATAGCGAACAAAAAGTCTCTTGCGCTTAAATTTGAACAAGCAGGCCCACCCTTCCGCCGAACAGAATTGCCAGCTCCGCTTCGCTCCGCCGGCAACTCCGTGCGGCAGGGGCCGGGGGGCCGGGCCTCCTCGGCCTGCCAGCGGCGATGGTAGGGCCTTCGGCGCGACCATTTCTGTCACGCGATTTGCTGGAGTACATAATAGTAACGGGCCTTCGGCCAGCTAAAACCCGTCGTCCTTAAAATTTGCCCCGTGGACACAGGGATGTAACGGTGAAGCACCGCGACTACAACCCACCCTTCTGCTTGGAAAACGTTTTTTTGAGTGGGGGGTGGGGGCGGGGGTGGGTAAGTTTCTTCCTATTTTGCGGTTTTTAGGCCACCTTCTACAACTTATTGTTCTATAAAGCAATTTTTAGCAATTTTCGTCCAAAAAAAGCCCCTCCAGCGCCTAAACGAATGGAGATAGAGCCAAACTGACGAAATTTTCGTCCTAGGGACTCTACTTGGACGAGTTACCCCTGGGGAGGTCTTAAAAAGAAAAAATTACTGACTTTTTTGACGTATCTCTTTTTCTTTGATACCCCCCTTCAGCCCCTAGGGGTGATTGCCAGGATTTGCCGTAGGCGTTTCGTTTTCTAGGAGTGAACCTTAAGATACCCTGAAAATTTGAAGTCTCAAGCGCATCCCCTTCTAGTGGGACAGACAGACACACAGACACGAGGTCGTTTGCATAAGCGCGCTAGATAGCTTTTCTAAAGCAGAAGGGCGGGCTAAAAAAAACATGCCAACAGAGTACGCCAGCCTGCAATACCGGCGTGTCTACCACACAGGGGCAGCCGAAATGCTCTTTTTGTTCAATGATCTAATTTTCTTCAAAACTCCGAACGCAATGTATTGCCTGTCTATAGAGTAAGTCTCGGTAAAATTCTGTCCTCGCACAATAAACCAGATGAACCCGCACACTGTAAAAAATTTCTATAGTAGATTTCCTATTAATGTATTTGCAGCAATTCACATATACATGTATAGGAATTTTCCCATACAGGCGTGTGGTAATTCCACCATACGCGTTAGTATTCTTACCATGCAAGTGTAGGAATTTTCCTATACACCTGTGTAGGATATGTACTAGGTGTGTGTGGCATTATGCCTACACATGTAGTGGAATTTTCCTATACACCCGATGCTCTTTCAAAAAAGAAAAAGTTTTTTTAACCACTTTTATTTAGTCGGCAACTTTTCATGTCTTATCTTTCAAGGGCCAATTTAACTACATCATTAAAAACACGCAAATGTAGTCAAGTTCAAACTTAATTACAATCCCAGAAACAGTTGCCGATACGATTAGATGATAAGCACTATGCATCTCTTTATGCGTAGAACAACATATCCAAAGATGAAAACAATCTACCGAGCCATTCTCGAGCAAACTGCGTTCAAAATTTGAACTTTGAACAATATTTCAACTTTCATTTACTCGTTATTGGCTCATTAAATTCCTTCAGGCTTGTAGGTGTTCAATGTAGAACGTTCTGACTCTTTGAAATATATATTATTTATCCAGGTTTAGCTCCATATTGCACGTAAAAGGGACCAAAAATCAATTTTTTCTTATTTTGAGCCTGTTTAAAGTTTGGTTTCTTTGATTTTGCAATTGATCTATACATGGGACAGCAAAATTTTTCTTACAAAAGTTTTAGATAGCTGTCTGATCTACAAATTTTATGTAATGCTGAAATTCATATCTCTTATCAGTTACGATCTAGGTAGAATGAAACATATCCAAAGACGCCTGGGTGGAGGTCGTTGAGTGGGTTGCCTATCAGCGCCTTACAGAGATTCCCTACAGGACAGGGTCTCCACAGCCCAACAGCGCATCGCACTCTTTAGATCGATATAGCTCGTCAACTAATAGTGCTATCGAAATGATCGCCTG